ACTGCAAAATCGTATTACCCTTTGTATTGCTAATGATGGAGGACAAGCGGAAACTTAAATAAAATTTCAATAAAATCTTAAAAAATATAGAATTACTTCTTTTTAATCCTTTTTACAAATTATATCTATCGCAAATACAAATAAAGTTATAAATTTTTAAAGTGCACACGAACTTTATGGAAACCCTGTATATATTGTCATCCGCAGACAGACTGTTTCGCTGTATCACGGCTCATTAGGATCGAAACCCGACTGATTTGGGCATCAGTCGTAGATTTTTTCACTATATATATATATATATATATGTGTGTGTGTGTGTGTGTGTGTGTGTGTGTGTGTGAGCGAGCAAACTTGCTCTTCGTCAAGGTTCGGCCGTGCATCACTTTTTTCGGATCTCCTCGTCTGACATCGCATGCTAGAGATCATTCGGCTACACATTCCGCCAAGGTTCAATTAACTTTTTGAAGCATCATATATTTTTTGAACATAGGTAAGTTTTAAAATAACGTTTGGAATCGTATATATATATATATATATATATATATATATATATATATATATATATATATATATATATATATATATATATATATATATATATATATATATATATATATTGATTCATTGAATACGACAGACAATACCTCAATTAGATCTCATTTAAATATTCATGGAGACCTACTGGACACTATTCGTAACATACTCATTGACAACACTAATATAATACCATCATCTACATGCAAAAAGTCCTAAAAATAATGGAAGCTTCATTAATAAAAAAAAAAAAAAACAACACTTAATAATATTAACTTTGAACATGGACACAATATATTAACCGTGTTTTGAAAAATGAAAACATTTTATAAAACATACATACAACAAAAACTATTTCTTATTTAAAAGTTAAAATATTTAATCCCTGAAAATAGCTTAATGTATAGCCGAAAGCGCTCGGCCAAAAAGAACATTCGGACAGTTTTTATATAATTTATCATCCGAAAAGAAAAAAATTATTAGATTGCATGAGAAATTGTATAAAAAAAACTAAATAAAAGCACCCTGTCTGTTGTTTTCAGTGAAATGTGCATGAAAGAAGGATTGCTTTTTATTAATAAGGCTTCCATTAATTTTAACCTTTGTGTGTGTGTGTGTGTGTGTGTGTGTGTGTGTGTGTGTGTGTGTGTGTGTGTGTGTGTAAAAGAGAGATAGACAAGAACAAAAATATCTATGAATTCTTATGCACATTGATAGGCACACATAAACATACATCTATACACGCACGCACACACACACACACACACACACACACACACACGCACATACACATAAACATACACATATGGGCGCGTGGTTAGAATGTTCGCTTTCTGACCATGAGATCCGGTATCGAATCTCATCATCGTAGATTTGTCAGGAAGGAGACTTCCTGATGTTATCGATCTGGACGATTCTAGTGCCTGAAAACCATACAATACCAAATACTTGGGAGCCGTCGATAGTTGCTAGCACAAAGTCAGAAGTCAATGTTCCAGATAACAACGCTCTAAGCTCTGCTCAGCGTAGTTGCAATATAAACCACACGTTGGCTCTGTAGGTGTTGAACAAACACAATTGTACTTGAGCCTGAGTCTACAATAGGGATTGACTAGCCGCCTTAGAAGACAAGTAGCCAGCTATCATATATATATATATATATATATATATATATATAAACCTAAAAGCCAGGTAAACCTACCTAGGCCAGTTTTACCCTGACGATCCGTTTAGGTGAAACCTAGGTAGGTTTACCTGGCTCTTTAGGTTTATATTAGGTTTGCTCTACTTCGTGTATTGAGCACTTTACGTCGTTACTTTTACTCGTTTTGGAGGGTTTTTTTTCTTTGGACTCTGAGCTTGAACTCTGGACGATGGTATCGCCTCAATTTGATGTTCCTCTTTCTTTTTTTTATTCCTCATTTTTCCTTGGGTATTGCTTTGTTCAACTACAAGCCGAAATACCCAAGGTTTTTTCAAACGAATGCAACTATATATATATATATATATATATATATATATATATATATATATATATACATATATATATATATATATATATATATATATATATATATATATATATATATATATATATATATATGTAGTTTTTGTTTATCTTGTTCTGGATATATATATATATATATATATATATATATATATATATATATATATATATATATATATCAGAACAAGATAAACTACGAATACGAAACCAATTTCTATTACACCATGTATAACAAGTATAAAAATTTCTACAAAATAACAAATCCGTAAACTTAGAAGCAAGAAAAATAGATAAGTACAAATATACAAAACAAATAATAAAGGAAATATAGAAAATAATAAAATAATAAATAAATACATCTCTCTCATATATAACGGAGCCCATTTTACTTTCAACTCAATTTAATTTAAAGGATTATATTGAAGTTTTCGGCTCTTGTTTTGAAACATGAGACCTCTTATGTAGCGATTTGGAATCATATTTTTAAATAAATAATTATATATATATATATATATATATATATATATATATATATATATATATATATACTTATAAGAGAGTGAGAGAAGGTGGTGAGAGAGAGAGAGAGAAGATTCACCACAGTCTGATAATTTGTTGCGCTGTCAGATCCTATACTAAAAATATTCATCTTTATAAATACTTACTTTTTTATGTAGGTACCTCAACTAAAATGGTATACGTAAGGTTTTAAAATTAATTTTTCAAAATGAATGAGGTTTCTTGAAGTTTTCATTTTAGCTTTAGTTGAAAGCTAAAGGATTTAAAATTTACTATTTCTAATAAGCAAAATACTCTGTGGTGTATTTCAAACAAAAATTATATCGATCTGAATAGAGTTTTTTTCAGTAAAATCAATCAAAAGGGCCATTTTTGACACACTTGTAAACAAAAGTTAATTCCCGGTTTTAAAAATCTTGCAAAATTAAAATATATATTTCTGAAACCTTATTTGAGGAAAATTAGCAGATTTAAAGTTAAATTAATCTCATCGGAGACAAATATTACTTATTTATAGCATAAAATGTCGTAAACAAACACTTCTTATCTACAGAATCTTGTTTGTTTTGTTTTTTTTCTGACGTGTTAATCGATTTATTCACAGTGGATTGACAGCCGAACGTGTTCATAGTTAAGTATGGTGGAGCAGATGATAAACTTTATAAGAGTTGACAACACTTAAAACCCGTGACCTTTTAATAATACATTGTCCATCCATACTTCAGAAATTCTGCGCGTACTCACGCATACAAATCGAAATTCTTTTAAGATATTCGGGATCGTCAGATTGTAATAAGCCTTACAATATATGAATAGTAAATATAGTTTTACTTAATAACAATATTTACTAAGAATTATCACATTGAAAATGAATTTTAAAAGATTTAAAACTTTATAAATTATTCAATTTAAAATTGTAGGAAATAAAAACAAATCTTTTAAAAATTCATTTTTCGTCGAAAAAATATTTTTCAGACAATATTGTCTTTAATATATATTATTCATAAAAGCAATTAAAAGCTTCTCTAATTAAATAATGTATTAGTTTTATTGCGTTTTGTATTTTTCAATTCAGAACAGATTTTCCGAAAGACGGGGTCCGATTTTACCAAAAAAATATTCGGTGATTTAAATTTTTCAAAGAATTCTGTTTTTAACTAATATAGTCACATAAAATTATCACGTTGAATTTCTCAAGTTTTCATAAAATTAAGTAAGGAGCTGACGACATGTAAAAAAAATATTTTTACCAAGATTTTCTAATGAAAAAAAAATAAAAAAATAATTTCATTCATTTGTGAATAAGTCCTGAACATTTCATTAAAATCCGACAATTTTATTTTTGCAAGAATGTCGAAATTAATGTGTCTGTCACCACAAAAAATGAGACCAAAATTTGCTATGCTAAAACTTAGTACAATCAGTGACGCAAGAAAAACAGGTTTTTAATCAAAATTTCGAATCTTCTAAAAAGAAGTAAAAAATTTAATTAAATAATCGAAAATACTTTGATCCTTCCTCTTAATAATAACATAAAGATTTTAACGATAAAATTGTTTTCATTATATTTTCAGCAGGTTTTCATCACGGTATGCTGATTTTTTAGCGTTTTCGTGGAAGGACATATTTTTATGGAGCTTAGTTAAAGTGAATATTTTTTGGGCGGGAGGTGATTTTTCTAATTATAGAAATAATTTCAGAATAGAATGTCTCAATTACTGAAATATCTTAGATGAAAGTGGCCTATATATATATATATATATATATATATATATATATATATATATATATATATAATTTGTGAAAATGTGGTAATCCGTATGGGTAGTCCCAAGGAGGATGAAATCCTGAAAGCTCAATGTAAATCTAGAGCTAATATTTTAAAAAAAACAGACCACTTTAAGGTACCATTATAATAATTTATTTCACCAGAGCCCTTTTAAAGGACGCCGGATCATCAGATAGCACTTCCAAAAGAAGAAACGAAAAATGAAATGAAAATATATATATATATTTATATATATATATATATATGAAATGAAAATACATATACATATATATACATATATATCTATACACACACACATATATATATATATACATATATATATATATATATATATACATACATATATATATATATATATATACATATATATTTATATTTATATATGCATATATATATATATATACATAGATATATATATATATATATCTATATATATATATATATATGAAATGAAAATATATATATATATACATATATATATACATATCTATATATATATATATATACATATATATCTATACACATATATATATATACATATATATATATACATACATATATACATATATATATATATATACATATGTATTTATATTTATATATGCATATATATATATACATAGATATATATCTATATATATATCTATATACATATATAGATAGATAGATAGATAGATAGATAGATAGATAGATAGATAGATAGATAGATCTGTATAGAGAGAGATAGAGACTTTGAAAGAAGTAGTGACACATGCTCTGAAGATCATTTGAGGCGTGAAACTGACAATCACCTTGCAGTGTTGTTCCCTATGTTCACGATGTCTATAACTACACATCTATATATATATATATATATATATATATATATATATATATATATATATATATATATTGTGTGCGTGTTTGAATATGTTATGTTTGAATAAAGTAAGAGAATTAAGTTATATGCGTAGTCATTGTACAAGAATATCGACCAACTAAGAATAATAACAATTTATATGATATTTATAGAAATGTTTGCAAGTCTGCTGAAAAGACATCCAACAATAAAACCTAATGGCAACAAAATCTATGCCTCTTAGGTCTGCCATATTTGTGCCAGAGGTTTTAAAAGTTTCTCCGGCTGAAAGAGCCATCTCCTTTCAAGAGAAATCTTAGTCGGACTTTGATGTCTGGCAATGGTCATACTCATCATCGAGGTGGCGGCGATCATATATATATATATATATATAGAGAGAGAGAGAGAGAGAGAGAGCGAGATGAAAAGAGTGCGATAGATAGATAGATAGATAGATAGATAGATAGATATGAACAGACTGAGATAGATAGATAGATAGATAGATAGATAGATAGATAGATAGATAGATAGATATGAAAAGTGTGCCATAGATAGAGAGAGATATGAAAAGAGTGCCATAGATAGATAGATAGATAGATAGATAGATAGATAGATAGATAGATAGATAGATAGATAGATATGAAAAGAATATCATAGATAGTTTGGCACAATTCTATAATAGTAGACCACCGTTTCCATCACGTATTTTTTTAGACAAGCAAATTGGCTTAAGAGTTAAGTTCGTTAACCATACAATAATTGATGAATTTGTTTACCCCTGCGCTATAGTTGTCACACCAGATTTTCTTAGAAATTTTCCTGCGATTAGTCGTAAATGCACTCGTATTTATTTATTTGCAGGCCTTTGCTGTTTTGTACTTTATTTTTCCGATGTAATGAGTAATTTCTGCGCTTGTAGTACGCTCCTGTGGGCATGCGCACACACGCGCATGCGTGTGTGTATGTGTGTGCACCCTTCTCCCCAGAAGAAGTCATTAAATGTTGACAGAGGGCCGCCTGGGAAAGGTATTTATTCACCTCGCTGGTCGGTGAATAGGCTTTACATTAGAAACTAGCCGCTTGGCTTAAAGTCAACACGTTCTAGCTTCGCTCAAAATTTCATTATTGATTTGCAACAGGCAGCTGCTGTGAACATATTCTGTTCAGCTCGGAAAACCCGTCTCGCAATATTTAAAATCATTTTCTTATTCTATATTATTATTATTTAATTGTATGATTTGTTGGGCCTGCTATCCTTATCTTTGTTGTTTTGATTATTATATTTCTGCCGGATAGTCTTCGGTTCTCTCCTAGTTACTATTATATCCTTTTAATTTCCAATTTTTTTTCAAACCGAACGCTTATTTATATTCTACACCTTTTTTCTTACTTTCCTTCCCACTAACTTACTTTTCCTTTATTTCCATTATGCTTCATTTATTTTTTTTTTATTTGCTTGTTTATCTTTCTTTCTTTTTCTTTCTTTCCTTTTCCTTTTCCTCTGTTCTGTCTCTCTTTCTTTACTTGATCTATCCGTCTAGATAGATAAATAGATAACGCCATATTATATCCTTATTCTCTCAAAGACGCTTGCATCAATTTCTGGCCCCTGACACTCCTGAGTACGCTGCGCTACTGGCAGATATATTAAGAAAAACGTGGTTGACTGGTGGAGTAAATTTAATGTCAGTGGATAACGACCAGGAAAGCCGGAGCTCTTGTCTGCGTACACCAGATTCAAATGCAACTGACTCAAAAATACAACCATGTATATTATTTCCATGTTTTTCGCCATTAAATGTTGCGCAATTCGATCTATATTCATCCCAGTAAATGAAAATGGAGGTTGTTTAATAATCCTACCTATGATATCACGAAGTATATTAACAGCTAGTACGTGATACATACACATACACACACACACACACAGATACATATATATATATATATATATATATATATATATATATATATATATATATATATATATAATTAAGTAACAAAAATCTTGGTAATCCGTATGAATAATCACAAAGAGAATGAAATCCTGAGAGCTCAATGTTAATTCAGAGCGAATAATTTAATTTAAAGAAATACAGACCACTTTAAGGCTCCATTTGTAATAATTTATTTCACCAGGAAATTTTATTTTTCTCTGGATCTTCAGACTTCACTTTCAAAAGGTGAAACGAAAAATGAAATTAAAATTTACACTTTTGACGGGCAGTATTAAGCTTATATAAGTTGACATAGAGGGTCGAGTTTAGAGAGGGATGGGAGAGTTTTAAAGTTTATTTTTATATTTCTTTTTATTATAATACTTAATATTGAGTAAGGAGGGGGTAAGGATCAGACATTGATCTATTTAATCGGTCAACTCAACGGAAATGATATGGGAAAAAGGCAAGGAGAAAAAAAAGTAAAAAAAGAAAAAATACTCTCCTTCTCTCTATATGCGCCTCCTCTCTGTTTTCTCTGATATATATATATATATATGTATGTATGTATGTATGTACCATCCCTCATATATATATATATATATATATATATATATATATATATATATATATATATATATATATATATATATATATATATATATATATATATAAATATAAATGTATGTATTTAAATAAAAAGAAAAGAACAGTAAGATATATAATCCGGTGTTCTTATAGATATTTTTATTTTACAAAATAGTGCTCAATGTAAATTTACAGAGCATTAATATTATAAATTAATTGATTTAAAACCATATTTTAAATCCATTAATTTATAATCTCTCTCTCTCTCTCTCTCTCTCTCTCTATATATATATATATATATATATATATATATATATATATATATATATATATATATATATCAGAGAAAAAAAAAGTGGAGGCGCATATAGAGAAGGGAGTATTCTTATTACTCCTTTCATTACTCCTTTCTTACAATTTATGCGTGCCTTTTTTGAACATCTTTCATTTCTCACTCCCCGTTCCTCTTTATTTCCATCGCTCTCCTCTCTCTCTCTCTCTCTCTCTCTCTCTCTCTATCTCTCTCTCTCTCTCTATCTATCTATCTATCTATCTGCACGCTCATCTCGGTTTCCCTATTTACGTAATCATTATCCTTCTCTCTCACTATCTCTGTATCTCCTTCCCTTTTCTTGTCATCTCTGTATCTACCTCCCTACTTTAATACCTATTTTCTCTCTTTCTTTCTCCCCCACTCGCCCTCTCTCTTTTCTCTTTACATCTCTGCATCTTTCTCGCTTCCACCCTCTCTCATCATCTCTGCGTCTCCCTTTTTGCTTATCCCCACTCCTTCTCTCAATCCCCTTCACTTTTTTCTCACATCACCCACCCAACATGGAGTTCTATTTCTGGCAGACACCATTAAATTAATTACCGGTAAATTTATACAAAGAAAAATTCACATTTTTTTTCTGTTTTTCTTTTTTATTTTATCTTTATTTCTTTTTATTATATTTCTTTCTATCTTCCTTTTTTATTTCGCTTCGTTTTTCTTTCATTCTTTTTGTCCTTTCTTTCTTTTCTTTCCTTCTGTTTATTTTTCATTTTTTTAATTTCATTCTTTTTTTTGCGTGGGGGGGTCTATCTTTTTCTTTCTTTTTATTCTTTTACTTTTCATTCTTTCTGCTCCCTTCTCTTTCTTTGTTATTTTCTTTCTTTTATCTTCCTTTCTTTCTTTTCATTTTTTATCTTCTTTCTTCGTTTCTGTTCATTTTTTCTTTCTTTGTTATTTCGTTCTTTTTTCCTTCATTTTCTTTCTCTCTTTCTTTCTTTCTTTCTTTCTTTCTTTCTTTCTTTTTTCTTCTCTTTCTCTCACACTTATTTCCATGCCTCATCTCTCTTCTTTAGATTTTTCCCTTCTCCTTTCTTTCGTATATTTCTTCTTTTTTTTCTACTGCTTATTTTGTACATTGTTTTATTTTATTTTTCTCTACCCTTTCTTAATTCATGGCAATTTTTATTCTCTTTTTCTGCATCTATCTCTTTTATTTTCTCCCACTTAGTATTCTATTTTTACAATTTATTCTATTTTTTCATTTGTTTTAACTTTAGTATTTTTTATCGTTCATTCCTTCTATCAATTAGCAAATTATTTCTCGCAATTCTTTCTTTATTCATGATTTCGTTGAGCCTTTATCTCTTTTCTTTCTTCCTTCTTCCTTTTTATTATCATTATTTGCATTTTTTTCCCAAATACAATTTCAAACTCCAAAATGTTTATCTTTTCCGATAACTATTTCCCCTCCTCCTCCTGTCCAGACATTTTATGTCCAATATCCCTTGCCTCGTTTTCATTCCCCTTGTCTCGTTTTCATTCCCCTTGCCTCGCTTTTATTTCCTAATCACACTTCCTGTCTCCACGTTCCTTCACATTCAAAAATTTATTTCCAAAAATCTCATGAAACAAAAACCACCAACAATGTTGCACAAAAACAAGATCTATAGGAATTTATAAATCTTATCAGAAGTTGTGGCTGGTAAATTGTACGTCTTCATGGAAGACCCGAAAGTATAATGTGAGTTATCGCCACAACGAGACTAACATGGCTTCTTTCGATCCTTCATTTTTAGAGATTTCCCTTCTTTTCAAAACCCTTTTCCACTCTCTTTCCTCGCCTATTTCCATTATTAATTTTGCCATGTTTCTCCTTGCTTTCTATTCTTAACATTTTGTAAGCTTAGCTTACTATAAAACAGGGCTAAGTAGAAAAGTAGGAAGAATATATTGCGACAATTTTCCAAGGGAGGGAGGAAGAAGGTCTGCCTCACTGCCTACCTTGAAAATTGAACATCGAACTCTAGCACCTCCATAATACTGAATATATTCGTCTATAAGTCGATTTTTTTTTTTATAAATCAAGTTTCGACTTATACGCGGATCAAAATCACATTAGAATTCCATTGCGGAGGGCTAAGGAGAAAATTTTAAAAAATCACCAGTTACCGCGATAAGACACTAGAGATATAAACTATGTTACAATTAGTCATAAAAATTTGTATTATCTTTTAAGCTGACTAACAGTTGAGCGTACAATAATCTTTCAGTTGAAGGTGTTAACACAAATGAATTCAGTAAATATACAAAAATAGAAAGGGGTGTGTAGAGAGAAGAGGACGACCAAACAGACGGGACCAATAAAAGTAGTTCACCGGATGAAAACCCGGTGAATGTAAAACAATATAAATACGGGCCAAACAGCATCCGGACATTCTTTTCCGCATTGCGCGACGAAACAGTCTACATGATACACTACAAGGTGGAAGACAAGGATTCGTCTTCACACTGAATTTATTCAGCTTATACAATGAGGAGATTCTAAAAGAATTAGAAGTCCTACAAGGATTCATTTTTGGCAGCTACAATCATATGCAGATGACACAGTGAGTGCTGATAACAAACATAGCATAGGAACAATTGACAAAGAGTTCATTCCCTCGTATGAATTATGTTTACTTTAAAAGAGCCTAGTTGAACAAGTATTTACGTTATTTACGCAGCTTATGTTTATGTAGTATGTGATTCACACTATAAATCTGAACGAATCTAAAGCCAATGAAGAACCTTAATCCTAAAAGAAGTTGATCTGTGGTGGTCCCCGTATATACTTAGCTTACTCCCAGGTGATACCAAACGAGAGTTTGCACTAAGAGCGTAAGAGAAATTACGTGCTTCAGCAGGTTGATCCGGAAGGTATCCTCCTGGCCACCAGGTGCAGATTTACACCTTCATTTCAAATGTAAATAGGGGGGGGTCGACCCAGTAACGCTTCTTGTGTACACACATGGTATAGCCGGATGACAGGTAAATATATAAACTCTCCATCCGAGGGCGAGGAGCAAAAAAGAGTCTCTTATATCCCCGTTAGAAGAAGAATCCACGTTTGGAGAAAACCTCTAAATCCACACACCCATGTGCCGATATTAATTGGCGAAAGAAAGAAAGGAAGATAGAAATGTTTAACGTCCCCTGCCAATATTAAATAAATAATTAACTATTCCGTTTTGATCGCATGTAAAGATGAGGAAAACTATTTGCTTTAAGTGAGAAAAATAAATGAAAGAAAGAAAAGAAGATAGAATTGTTTAACGCCTGTTTCAGCGAAATGGAAAAAAATTGTCAATTTCAAATCATTTCATTTGTATCCCCTTACTTCTTAAAATAACGACCAGCATTCATATTTATGATTGTTATTGCAATATTTTGTTAAATTTGTTAAGCTCAAATGTTTAACAATGGTATACGGGAATTTCTACGGATATTTTATTGTCGTAGAACTCGCTATGAGCTTATTCATTCATTAACTTAAGAATTAAGATTTATCGGAAAATTCAAATAGGAAAACCGTGACATTTTCACGGGGTAAAGAATAATTTTATGTATGTGAGATTTAGTCACGTGTTCTCATCCATTTCTACAACGATTATATTACAAACTCAACAACGATTGACACTTAACCTAACAAAAATATGTTATGCAATGCTTTCAGCTTATGAAGCTAACTAGCTTAGTAGACAACGTTTTTTATTCGGCAGTCTCTGTTGATGTTTTCCACACGGATTTGCTTATCATATCAAATATTAAAGCCACCATAGATTAGTATAAAATAGTTAAAACGCTTTAATTTCAAACGTAAAATCATAAACAAAAAATAAACTAATATTAGTGTTAACAATTGGCAGTTGGTCTCAAGAATAACCTACAGTCTGTTGTTAACTGGGACTTTTAACGACTGAAAACGAAACTTCTATCAATCACCTGAAAAAACCCTTCCTGCCTCACATCAGCATGACTGATACTGACCTCCATGAGAGTGACTTGTTGTGCCTTCTCGGGCTAATATTTTCGGTTGACAGAAAGTGGAATGATTATATTGAATCCATTGTTGGTCTTCTGCTAAGAAAATTAGTTCACTGTGTCGAGCTTGACAATTTTTTCTCTTGAACCTATCTTATATAGTTATAAGTATATCATTCGTCCATGGCTGGAATATTGCAACCACACACACGAGGTCCGGTTCTCCTGCAGTATATGTAAATATTCTTGATAAAATCTAACGAAGAATCAACAATATTATTAGTCCTGAGGTGTCATCTCGGTTTCAGCCACTTTCTCACCACCATAATGTAGCTTCCCCATGAACTTTACTATAAATACGTTCATGGTAATTGTTCAGGTGAACTCTTCGCTATAGTATTCTGACTTCATGAATTTAAGCGCAGTACTAGATTGGCGGTAAGGTCTCATTAATTTACACTTGAATTGGCTAGATTTTACCATAAGTTCTATGCTAACAGTTTTTTTCTCTTGAACTTGTCCCCTGTGGATCACTCTTCTGTGTCCATGCTTTCCAGTCAAGTTTGATTTTCAAAAATTTAAATGCAATGTCAATTGTTATCTACTGTCATTTTGATTCCCCTTCTTTTATTGTTCTTGTTCCTTAATAATGTTTCTCTTTTTTTCTTATTTTTTCACACTCAATAATCCCTTGTGTCTCAGTGGCTTTATTGCCTTGCATGGCGTGACATGATTTTTTTTAATTAAAAAAAAAACTAGAGATGAATATCAATCCCATTATCAGAGCAGAGCCCCTGATTCATCATTTTTTTCTTCTACGTGACGTGTCCCTTCAGGACTTGGGCTCTGCACAATTTTCTATCCTTTGTTGTTCTTGGCTCGCTTTGCCCTTTTACTATCCTTTCTACTCTCTGTTGTGCCATCCATCTACACAAGCTTGTTAGTCAGTTTACTCGCTTATTCCCCTCTGTTCTTCTTGCCTTGCAATGTGCTGTGAGTGTTATATTCTCCAAGTCATCTTTTCTCATCTTATGTGCTCAATAAATTTCAACTGTTTTCTTCTGATTCTAAGTATAAGCGACCTTAGAATCGCAAAGAGGATTTATCATAACAAGCGCCAAATCACCAAATATATGGTTACTTAAATTTGTAGATTATACAGTAATTTCCGTTGCTTAACACAAATATAATTGCTGGACCTATCTCGTTGCCATGACAGTGTAGTTCTTGATGAGGTGGTTGGGTGCAGACGAAAATCCTTCACCACGAATGTTGATTTTCAAAGCAAGAAAGTCGTCTTTACTGAAAAAAATAATGGGATGCAATCTTTCTCTCCCGTTTCCTCTTCCCAATTTAGTTTGGAATAAGTAAATATCAACATCCAACACCATAAGGACCCACATGGAAATCATAAATGAATAATTTCTTTGCCAATTTTCGAATAGTGTTTCTCACTGTTTTTTCTTTTTGTCTTGTTTTTTCCTTCAATACTCGTCACTCTTTTATATTATTTAATTGTATTCTTCTTAGCTTATCTGTCTTTTTTATAACTATTTCATCCTATGTATAAGTTGACTGTAGTAAAATAACTAAAACCCTATCCCATAGAATCACTTGTCATATGTACGACCAAATCGTAATACGTCAATACGCAATAAACGATACAGAAAAAAAAATTATGAAGACATAAGATAGCTCCTTGATAATGCAATAATACTTAGATAATTTTTAGATGCTATTCATAAAAGTTAAAACAACAAAATCACTTAATATTTAGGAACACGCAATGTAAGTTCAATTTTCAGAAGCTACATTAATATGATATCGAAAATGTTTGAACAAAAAAATATTATTATGTTCATATGATAAGAGTCTGTCTTTTTGTCTTAGTCTGTTCATATACCTTTCTATATCTATATATCTCGATCTGTTCATATCTCTCTCTCTCTCTCTATATATATATATATATATATATATATAATGAAAAAACAGACCACTTTAAGGTACCATTACAATAATTTATTTCACCAAAATCCTTTTTGAAGGACTCGTGATCATCAGGTAACATTACAAGTGTTACCTGATGATCCGGAGTCCTCTTTGAATTACGCATTCGGTTTACCAAGTTCTTCGTAACTTATATATATATATGTGTGTGTGTGTGTGTGTGTGTGTGTGTGTGTGTGTGTGTGTGTGTGTGTGTGTGTGTGTTAATCAAATCGTCACTGAGGCCCGTTGGAACAGTTGGCATGATGTTTGCTTGACAATCTAACTGTCAGGATTTCAATTCTCGGTAGTAGACGCGCACTGCTGATGAATCCCAAATATAGGACGAAACGGCCGTCCAGTGCTTTCTGCATTCTGTTGAGGTTTCTTTTAGACTCGATGAATTACTTCAATATAATTATCAAATCCTCCTAATAATTTCTATCATATATATATATGTATATATATGTAATATATATATATATATATATATATATATATATATATATATATATATATATATATATGCCAATGACTTTCTATCATGTATCCATATACGCATCTGTTCCTTTCTATTTCCCTCTATTAATATATCTTTGCCCATTCCTCTTCTATCTCATTCTCTATCCCAGTCTGTTCATATCTATCTATCTATCTATCTATCTCAGTCTGTTTCTTTCTTTCTATCTATCTATATCACACTGTTAGAATCTATGTTCCTGTCTATCTTCATAATTCTGCACAGATCTGTAGATTTACCTTCATATCTTCCTTCCATCGACATAAGCATTTTGTATTCATCTGCCTTCCTCCACCATTTTGCCTCTTATTCAGTTTTTTCTTTACTTTCGCTTTTCGATATTTTTTTAATTCTTCACTTTTCCCTTTTCTTTTGTTCCATCTTTTTGCCAAATTCAAGTTTCAGTTGTAACAACTGTATTGTCGCCAAAATTTTAGACTGCTACAAGCCAAAAATGGGGTAGGTGAAAAAATGGTGGAGGAAATAAAAAGCTGACACAAGCGAAGAGAAGAACTGATCCTAAAATATCTTACTAATTGACTATCAGACAGACCCAAGTAAAAGGCCCTTATGGCTGCAGCCGACAGTCTCTGGGAGAGTGTAATTTTAGTTGATGAATACGACAGGAAGGAAGCAATTGATGGAGAATTTATCTTTTGTTTCCTTTATTTTATTTATTTATATCAATGAAAAAACACTAAGAATAAAACGAAAGCGAGGCAAATATTGTGACCAAGAGATTCATCTTAGGTTAGTGAAAGATGTTTGGTTACATAAAAAGAAAATTGATAGGCCTACAAAGTTGTCTCCCTCACGTTTATTATTGTTTTCACTAATAATATTTTATAACTAGTTTTACTCAATCTTATTATTGTTGCATTCTAGATGATTCAGTTTTCCTCATATTAATGTTTTGATAAAAAAAAAGGCAGCAATACTAATGAGGGGGAATAATTGCATTGATTTCTTTGCATGCAGTGATTAAAATATTTTTTTCTATCTGATTGCATGGCGCCTTATCTGTTTCCATCTTTTGATACAAAAATTGTTGTCTCTTGAAGTTTCTGTGATTAACTCGTACTACAGAAAGTAAAAGCAAAACAATAATAATAATAATAATAATAATAACAACGCCCTGGCACTACAACAGGCGTGGCTCTCATGGTTTTGGAGAGCCTATTTTTATTTATGGAGGTTTCTTGAATACCCAGTCCGGTAGATGAAATAAACACTGTTTAAAATAAGCGGGGCGTCTACTCAATTACGAGTATCCATTAAAAGTAACATTTGAAATAATGAAAATATGTCGGATTAAAAAAAACAGAAAATCCATTACAAAAATTAATCCATGTGTTAACATGTTTTGACTTGGCGGATTAAGATAGCGTCCAATAAATACCCCGTTTAATACCCCAGATTTGTTTATCAGTTACCTGGTTTTAAACAGTTGGACGTGTCCCCTAGGGTTTGAAGCAGTACATATCTGTTCATGAACTGAGGTAATGGTTACAGCATCATGGCTTGGTTGTTGTTGTTTTTTTTTTAATAATTGAAGAATGAGAGTGCCATAGCGGTTTGAGTCACACCGTGAAGACTTAGAAACACACCTAATTAGGAACTGTCTGAGCAGAGCTGCGTTACCCTACCTGGATGTATTTCTAACTGGCTTCCACCTCCTAAATTAGGCGCTACTTGTTATGTTATGTATGTGCTTGGTATTAGACTGGGGGTCATAAGTGCTGTAGTTGGGTTCGTATAGTTGGTTTTGCTGTTTTTCTTGGTAATAATAATAATGATTGTCGCGATTGTTTTAGTTTTTGTTTTCATTATAGCATTACGAAAAACGAGAAAAGAAAGCAATCGGTCAAAAGTTGATCAAAATACTTGCTTCTTTGTGATCTTCATTCGTATGTGCCACACCCATTTTGAATAAAAACCTGTGTGTCCGACTTTATGGAAGAATGTAAAACTAAGCTCTAGAAGATTTTATTCAAATACAACTTTTTTGTACAGTCTAGTATTTGAAAAATTTTCTATACTGAGTCGTACGTGTATATCCGATTTAAGACAATATGTAAACAACATTACTCTTATACGGAGGATTTTATTTTATTTTTTATTTAGCAAGTAAGGTGTTACAGAGAGTGGGAGTAAGTGTAAAGGAGCGTGATAGAGGAAAGGATGAAGAGAAGGACGTGGAATTAGATCAACGCATCTGAAGATGTCGACTGACGGGAGGTGCGAGACATGAAGCTATTATGAGTAGAAGAGACGGCTACATTTAACAGTTTCGACAATGAAAGGGTGGGACCGAGATGCCAACCTAGTAGCACGCTTAAATTCATGCAGTTTGGGAACCAGCGAAAGTAGCTCGTCGGAACAGTTACCATGAAAGTATTTGTAGAAAAGACAGAGGGAGGCGACGGCACGTCTGTAAGAAAGTGACTGTAAGCGAGTTGTAAGATCAAGGCCAATCACATTGCATATCTGTCTCTGGATTTTGTTGAGGACCTTGAGACGAACAACGGGGGCTCCAGACCATATATGGCAGCAGTATTCCACGCAAGGGCGAATGGTTGATTTGAAAGATGGACTCGGGCGAGAAAAACTTTCTGGCGCGACACATAGAACCAACTTTCCTTGCGGTGGATGAAGCTATTGATTCAATGTATTTGTTCCATCTCAGGTCAGCGGACAGTGTGAGACCAAGCAGGCGCAGAGAGGTACTCTCGTGAAGTTGATCATCAGACATTCTAATGGGATGCAGGAAGTGTTCTCTGTGGTGGGTAAAAGAGAGCAGTTTTGTTTTTGAGTCATTAAAGTTAACCAGCCATTTCTTGCCCTAGTCAACAACAGATTGGAGGTCAATTTCGAGACCAACGGCGAGGTTAGTTTTGTCAGCGATACCAGTATTTGCTATTGAGGCAGGAATAAATAGTTATGTCGTCTACATAGATATCTACCTGGGAACTGATGACATCGGGAAGATCGTTAATGAAGATCAGAAACAGTGTAGAGCCTTGGGGAATACCTGCGTTCGTGAGGTTCTGAGGTATTGAGGTTTAATTATTGACTAGTAAAGTTTGTTTTTTTATGATAGTCAGTGTATCTTAGATGTTTATTACCGCCTTTAGGTTTCATGGGTTCATAGATTATGATTTATAGTAATTTTAATTTTGTATCTAATGGCAATAGAATCAATAAAACTCTCTCTCTCTCTCTCTCTCTCTCTCTCTCTCTCTCGTAGACTGACTTGTCATATGCCGAGACAAATCGACATTAAAAACAGAATTACAATGACATAAGATGGATCCTTGTTGATAATACAATAATACTTAGTTTCTTTTGTTTTTGTTTTTTTTTAATCATATCACCCAAATAAGGCTATAAAGCCACCAAGACATAAGAGGTTACTGAGTGTAATGGAATATGAGAAAAAGAAAACATTATTAAGGAGAGAAGACAATAAAAGAACAAGAAGATAAAAGACAACGATTGGCATTGCATTTAAATTTTTGAAGATCAAAGCTGACTGGAAAGCAAGAAGCTGGAAAAGACTTCTACAAGCGAGAAATGCAATAGAAAAAAGCTGTTAGCATAGAACTTACGGTTACATGAAGCGATTGCAACTGTAAAATGACGAAACTTAGCCGCTAACTGGATTAAATTCATAAAAGTTTACAAGTCTTAGAAACAATTCATATTGAGTTAAAACAACCAATAATTAACAAAATCATTTTTTAGAAACATGTATTTTAAATTTACATTCATGTGACATAAAAACTACTTAAATAAAAAAAATGTTATTATGTTCACGTGATATTATGTTCACGTGATATTATGTTTACGTCACGTGATATTAGTTACATTAAAATCTATAAATGGCTAAGGCATTATATTTATAACAGAAAATTATAACAATACGCTGTATTGGAGTGGTTTCCCGTTGCTTTCACCGGTTCTCATTAGACCACCAAAGTTAATCAGTGTCAAACCCGCTCAACATGGCTACTGCAAGCGACCAACTACCGTTCGAAATATCTCCCAGCTTTAAATAACCCATAAAGTGTTGATAAATCCTAAAAAACACATCAATCAATCCTATTGTTTTTACAACGATTTAAAATTCAAACTTCTCATTTTTTTTGATGTGTTGCCATTCAAGTCTAGAGAGTCCAATCTACCCTGCTATTTTGCTTCGTTGCCTGCAGTTGCTATTCGAGCATATTTTGAATAACAAATTCCGTAAGAGACACTTTGACAAGAGATTGGCGCTATGCAATCTTCTGAAAATTGACGGTTTAAGATAGATTTGGCTAACAAACGCGAATAAATGATGCAAATCCTATTCAAAGAATGTTTGTGTCACTGTCGCTAGGGCGGAAGGCAGACGGATCTATTCACAGACTAGCAGAGATGCGCATGCGTCTAACGACCTAAGGAAACGTCCATCCAGAATGAGTCATGCAAAATATGCTGTTGAAACTTTCGTGTTGATTCATTTCATCGTGTGATCTTTCTGTTTGCTTCTTTTTTGCTACAATTTCTCCTACCACCGTCGACTCCATTTTAACAAGACCAAGACCACACCTACCCGTCTATCTCCCATATTTTTCAACCATACCAACAACCTTTCTCTTTTTCCTGTTTTCTCTATTTCTTTTCTTCCTCGTTCTTGTGACTGATTATATTATCTTCAAGCAATGAATGGAAGCATACATAGGCTTTCCGCATTGGAGAAGCAGACGATAAAGAGACAGACAGACTGACTGACTGACGGGAAGAGAGACGCGTTAGTAATTCGAGACAAAGTTTTCGTTTTTTTTTTTTTAGGGATGAATACTTTTCTGGGAGTTCTGTATAATAAAAAAACATATATATTTGTTAATATGAAGTCATGTAACAAAGATGAGTCCTTTCTGTACAGTAGATTTCTGTACGTTAGGTTCGCATAACCTAAGATAAACAGGATGGTTTCATTTGATTTATTTCAGTTTTAAACTCAAAATTCGTAAGAGTGATCACTATTCTCTTATAGGACGCATGATCTGAAAAAAAAACATATCGGCTAATTATGAAATGGCACTAACTTTAATAGTCAGATGCTTGAAAAATATAGCATTTTTTTTATAGATTCGCTTATCTTTTAAAATTAATTGTTAACGGTGATATTATTAACCGTTTCCACACACGAAACATTAGGCTTTTATTGATCGGACAGCCTGACCGGTTGAAATTTATAAAATCTTTCTCTTGAAACAGCTTTTAAGAAAAATAAGCTTCTCGAATCCACTGTTACCGTCTTTCCTTGTATTGATGGGGTTTCCTTCTTAATCTTTTCTTTAAGGTAGTGTTTGATATCATTAATTATATCCTTATTTTCCTTTCATGTGATGCCATTTTCGTTATTGCTGCTTTTGGAAGTGTGTAAATGATGTGTTTGTTTTTGTTTTGTTTTTTGTTTTGTTTTGTTTTTAGTAAACTTCTTTGTTTGTAATTCTGTAGCGTCAGATCTGATGAAACGTTGTCAAAAAAAAAGTCAGTCAGTTATGTGCCATACGTGATACAGCCTTAGGCGATCATGTATCTTTCGATATATGAATGACCAGCAGATTTTTTCCCGCAGTAGGTTGCTTTCTACGGTAAACCAGTTGCAATCCAAGGCTGTAGAACCCGGTCTGTCCTGCTTACCCATAGCTAGGGAGGAAAGAAGAGGATTCATACCTTTCCCAAGGATATTAGCACGAAAGTGAATGTAACGGATTCGACTGGAATTCGAACTCGGCTCTCCGATTCCTCAATCCGAGCCACTATTCATTACTCCAGAGAGAATTTATTCGCTTAAAACCTTTTTTAATCGTTGATCTGCGAAAACGGTTGTTACTTTGAACATTTCAAGAAACTCGAAAATTGAACAGATCCTTGCATTATTTACATTATTCGGACTATTATCCTCATCTTCATTACCATATTCACAACGTTTCAGCCGTTGTACGCTCCGGTCTTCTTCAGGTGATTGGAATTTCGAAATGAACTCTTTATTGTTATTCTAGTTCCACGTGCCATATCTCTTTAGGATGTCTAAGTTATTTCCCTTTAACTTAATTCTCCAAGCTTTTTGTTCACCACTGCTGTGGACTGATATTGAATTCACAACTCTTTGGGTCTAGTCACTGGATCTAACCAACGTCTTTATCCACTGGACCGTTGTGAATATGGCAAAAAAAAATTAGGATAACAGTCCGAATAATTTCAATAATGCAAGTAACCATAATACCTCATCTCAGAGATATAGACAGATAGTGAACAGATCCGTAAGTGCTGAAAGTGCTCCTTGATACTATGTCAAGTTTGATGGATGTAAAGGTAGATCAAAATGTGCGTGGAGTTTGATTTCAAACTTTCTCTGTATAAATATGATTAATATTCCCCATTAAACTAAAAGCCTAGAATTGCCAACTTCTCAAAATGAAAATGCAGGATGGGGTGGAGGGTGTCTGCGATTTTCCAACGAACGCACCCCCTCTCCTTGACTCTTGTAAGGACAGGTTCCCAACCAAGAAATTATTTCTGTATGAATTTCTGGTATGAGAAGTTATCGTTATTTACACCATTTATATTCGGACTATTGTCCTCATCTTTGTTGTTGTTATCACAACGTTTCGGCCGTTGAGTCCTCCGGCCTTCTTCAGATGTATATTGATCTGGGTAAACTATTCGGAACTGAACCCTTTATTTAATCTACGGAAGTAGACTGTTCTCGTTCAATGCCCATATCTAGTTCTTATTTTTAGTACTGCTCAGTTATTGCTCGCCCTGTTTCCACTGAGTTCAAGTTCACACTGCCCAGCCTTATGTCAGCAAATTCACAAACCAAAGCTTCAATCCACTAGGCCATTGCCCCGTAGAACAATCTGCTGAACTGAACTTGAAGCCTTAAACCCAAATGCACAATGTTTACTTTGAGTCAGTTGAAACGGACGATCAATAACAGAGCAAGACTTAAAAAAAGGACTAGACAATATCAACTGCTCTGTCGATGAATGCCAAATGTTTCCTTGTAGAGAAACGGCTATAAATTACGATTACCATAGACACAACGTTTCGACTAATTACCCGACGGTCATCATCAGGTGTCTATTGAGATGAGATCTGTTGATTATTGTGATATTTTGTCTCTGAGATATAAGCTAGTGTTCGTTCCTTCTGAAATGGTGCTTCACTACAAGGATGGAATTCATAACCTCTAGATGACAGCAACACATGTATAACTCCTGTATCCACTACGCCACCTTTACCTTTCTTGCAGCCTTTTATATTCAATGTTAGAAATTTGGTTAAGATGGCGGGTTCATGCCTCTTTGCATAATTTAGTATTTCATGTCAGAGATGAGTAATTGTCTATATTCTTGTATTGTTTCGAACTGTTGTTCTCATTTTGGCTGTTATGATCAACAACAATAATCAATAGATATGACATATCAGAAAATCAATGAACACCTGATGATGACCAGATAGTACTTGCTCGAAACCTTGTGTCTATAACAACATCTATATCAACCAATATGAGAACAATAGTTCGAAATAATACAAGAATAAACCTATTATATATTATCTTTTTGTTCTTTTAGTCGCCAGACATGGAGAAATTCACCAGGAATTGGTCTCAGCGTAGACTGGACACTGCCTGATTCCACTACACGTATTTGTATCCGAGTAATTCGATAGCAAAAAAATGGCTGATTATTTGAAACAGAAGTTCTTTCTTCCAACATGTGCCACTCACAACGACTTCGAATTAATTCACACTAAGTCGAACAGTTATGTACGCTGGCCTGAGGCTGAACAGAAGCGGAAGAAGGTGACATCACAGTAGCAATGTTACTATCCATCGGTACGTAATAAACACTTACATGCCTGGTGGCTGTAATACGAGTAGTCCTATATTTTCCACCAGTGTCAGAAGTCGATTTTCGATCAAAAGTCTTGATATCAAATACTGATTTTCAAAACATTAACTCTTCAAAATATCCATGGTTTTGTCAACCCTGCCAACATTGTCCTGATAAAAATAAAACACCTACCCGTAGCATCTCTTTGTTGCTTTTCTTTCAACGCGTCATTTAATTAACATAGTTTAAGTAATATTCTACATTGTTTGGCAGTTCTGAAGATAGCCATCGAAGTACTTCATTTACATAAAAAAAAAATCATGGGACTTTGGTGTTTTCCATTTTGGAGCCATGG